CTGCTTGTATGAATGAGCATCCTTGATGATTTTTTGCCTTCACAAAGATGATTCCCAAATTTAGGTGTGCCATATTTTTGGTAGAACCTTTTCTGTTCTCCTGGGCAACTTTCCTCATTATAGTAACAACAGTAATCATATTGGGTGCTTACTAATTATAGGGACTGTACAAAGTCCTTAATAGCCATGATTTCATTTAATACTCTTAAAATCCCTGTAAGGGATTATCTGTCTGTTTTCCAAATGAAAATAAGCAAGGCTTAGAAAACTAAAAAATATATTCAAGGCTAAACAGTAAATACTATTTACAGAATATTCATTCATCAGTCTGTACTCTGGAAGATTAAAATTAAAAGCATGAGCTATTTTTTATTTTTAAAAATTTATTTAAGTAATGTCTACACTCAGCCTGGGGTTCAAACTCACAACCCTGAGACCAAGAGTCACACGCTTTTCCGGCTGAGCCACCCAGGCACCCCAAGAGTTACGGCTTTCTAATTGTTGAGTCTTCATATAATGTTTGGCTTCTAGTAGGCATTTGATAAATGTTTATTTGATACCTGTGAACTCTTTCTTGGCCATCCAGACTTCTGGTTCTGATTTCTCCTCATGTGAAACAAACTAAAGTGGAAGAGTTAGTGGTGAGAATGAATCAGAAAGGAAAGAAGGTAAGGCAAATCCTAGAGCCAAAGGAGGAAAGAGGAGTGTGGCCGTAGCGGTGTTTCAGGAAGGAGATCTTCATTTTTTGGCCACAGGTTGACTCCGTAAGAAAGGTACAAGTTAATCTGGCTGGGACCACGATTCTGTTAACCTAAGCTGACACTCACTGGAGGTTCGCGTTAAATTTGAGCTTTCCTTCCTGGCCCTCCATCTTTACATATTGCTAAATCTTTAAGTAAGTTAAATGCAAATACTACCTATCTGAGCCATCACTCCTGAGCCGTTAAGGATTAGCCCCAGTGAGTGATTTTTATGCCCCTTGTGTTGAGTTTGGAAGGAAATGGCACGAACTCTCTCCCCTCTTTCCCTTTCTCCTTTTTCCCTCACTGGGTTTTGGAAAGGCCTATACTGTTCTTTGTGGCTGCTCTTCTTGATTCTCCTGTTTTCCCCATAAACCACATTCCCTAATTCTGCTGAGTCTCGTGTAACCAAGCACCACAGACGTGGCAATGTTTGACTCAAGAAGGGCTGTTAGCAGGCCTTGGAAACTGGTTCCCTGTGGCATTTCACAGTGTTGATCCTGGGTCTCTGCTTTGTACTTTATGCATTGGAGGGTCTTTGCAGAACTGTAGAGTTTTAGGACTTGTGCTACTTATGCTAAGGTACATTATTTGTGCATTTAACTACATTTAACGTGTTGGTCTTAAACTCTGATTTTTTTTTTATTACTCTGAATTTTTAATTTTGTTAATTGTATAGCTGTTCTCTGTTTTCTTTTTTAGCTGATAATTCTTATTGCCTGATAGTGCTCATTTTAGCATTATTTGAGGGCTCTGATCCCCTGGATCCATGACATCAAATTTCTAACAAATTGATGCATAAACATGAGCCATGTTGTTCCAGGGTCTCTGGATTAACAAACCAAAATAATGTGACTAGATTTTGAGGTTGAAGTCCTATTTCCCAGGGCTTAAGAGGAGAGCATGGCCCGCTGCTCAGCTTGGCCCCCAACCTGGCATTTTAATTTTAATAAATGAGATTCTTTGAAGAGCATAAAGAGTTGATCACATGTGAACAAACGTTTAATGGGTGCATAAAACATTAATGCACCCATTAATGTTTTTTTCCACCAAAGTGGTTTCCAAAATTACCCTGGCTCTTGTACTTTTTGTGTGTGGATAGAGAGGACTCCTGTGCACCTGATGTACTTGATTTGCCAGCCTAATGGTTTGCCTTTTCCTGACCTCATGGAAACTGACAGGGGAAGGAGCCCAGCCCTGGAGATGGTTGCTCCAGTGACTTGGATGATTTCCAGATGAGCACCAGGAGATCTGGGTTGTTACCGTGCTGAGTGGGTTGTACAAGGGCTGGGTGTGCTCTTCCCTCATTGTCTCAGGACATGCACACTGCTTCTCATCAACCAGAAAAGGTTAATTTGGGGTTTAAAATTTAAGCAGCTCCTTTTTTTAAGGATGAAGAAGGGAAAATGAAGAATCGATTTTAGGACTAAAAATAAATAACTGTTCCAGAGAAGTATTCATGAACTGTTGATTGATTGTTTGCACAGTGGAAAAAAGATTAATCTCTCCACACATACTCATAACCCTCATCAAAATCCGCTTTCGGTGAAAGCGGACCGTATCCGTGTCTGGCTCCCTGAGAATGTGAGCTACTTGGGGCAAACTCTCTCTCATCCAGCCTTCTTTTTCTGTATCTCCTAATTCCTGGCACAATGCCCCACACTCAGGAGGCTTTCCTAAAGATACTCTTCTGATGGAGTAGAGACAGAATGAAGAAATACATTTGAAGAACTTGACTGCAGAGAGCCAAATGAATTCCATTTGTACCCATTCAGAAGTAGTATTTGTAAGATGACACGTAGGATTCAGTTGCCTAATGAGCTCAGCAATATGTTAGGAGGAAAGAAAGATGAACACAGATTCAAATTAAGTTGCTCTTAATCTGAACAGAAATTTTCGAATCTTAGAATTTCAGTGCTTAATGTTGGAAATCATTTGAGTAATGAAGTCCAAATGTATTTCTGTGTTTTCTGTAGTTATTTTATAAAATGTTTGAAAATATTTCAGTTTTAGAATTTAAGGAGACAGACTTACCTGCTGTGACAAAAGCACATGTGATAAAAATATCAGCAAGTCCTTGGTTTAGCTTTGAGTAACACTAGACATGCTACTTAACACCTTGGTACCACCATTTATAGAATGGGAAGAACATTGATATATAAGATACCATTTTCTATAGTATAATTGAATATTAGTCTTTCTACTTTCTACCTAAAAAAGTATAGAAATGTCCTAAGTTGTATAAGTTTTTTTCTTCTTGTGGTTTTAATTTTGTCAAAATGAATAGAAACAGAAATAAAAATTTTAGGACATCCTTTTAATGCACTTTAATATTAAATAATAGAATACATCAGTCTTTAAAATGTGCAGACTCAGATTATTTTGGAGATTTTAATAAACTTCACATTTTATTTTTGAATTTTTGATTTTTATTTTTAAAGTTTATTTACTTTAAGTAATCTCTGTGTGCTACTTATGCTAAGGTACACGAACTCAAAACCCTGAGATCAAGAGTTGCATGCTCCCCCAACTAAGCCAGCCAGGCACCCTTATTTTTGGATTTTTAAATGTTTAAATTCACTCTAGAATTATTTTAATCTTTTTTTATTCTAAGTTTTTTCCACATTGGATATAACTTTCAAGGATGATTTTTCCCTTATGAAGTATTGGATGTGTTTGTATGTTTATTATTATTTAGAGAAATATAATATAGAAATATATTCAGTTTAGAAATATAACTACCATATAATCCAGCAGTCCCACTTCTGGGTATATATCAAAAGGTAATGAAATCAGTATCTTGAAGAGATAACTGTTATGCACCTCCATGTTCATTGCAGCATTATTCACAATAGCCAAGATATAAAAACAACCTAAATGTCTGCTGATGGGTGAATGGACAAAGAAAATATGGCCTATATACACAATGGAATATTATTCAGCCTTAAAAAGGAAGGAAATCCTCCCATTTGCACAACATGAATGAGCCTAGAGGATGTTATGCTAAGTGAAATAAGCCAGATACAGAAAGACAGTTACTGCATGATTTCACGAATGTATGGAATCCAAAATAGTTGAACCCATAGAAGCAGAGAGTAGAATGGTGGTTGCCAGGGGCTCAGGGGTGGGGGATATGGGGAGATGCTGCTCAGGGGTACAAAGTTGCACATATGCAAGATGAATTAAGTTCTGGAGATCTGATGTACAGCATGGTGATGATACTTATCAATACTGTATTATATACTTGAGATTTCCTAAGATCTTGTTTTCAACACACATACCTACACAAAAATGGTAACTATGTGAGATGATAGAATATGTTTATTAGCTTGATTGTAGAAATCACTTCGCGATGTATACATATGTCAAACATCAACTCATATACCTTAAATATATACAACTTCTGTTCATCAACTGTACCTCAGCAAAGCTGGGGAGAAAAAAAAATACATTATTTCTCAGTAGTATTTATTTTTGTCCCAAGCAAGTACTCTATAATTAAATGTTATCATAAATATTTATATTTAAATGTATTTATATCATTAAACTCGAATATGTTCTAAAACATGTCATTTAAAATGTATAACCATTTATATCCTCAAAAACCTGAAAAAGTTTTTGTTTCTGTATGTATGGGATGGACTTTGGATTTCATATTGTGATAGTTAATGAGCACCAGTAGAGGGAGCTCCAACTCCTCTTTCTTGGTGAATTTAGCAGTCAACCTGAAAATAGTTAATGGAAAGGGCACACATAGAAATAAACTTAAATTACACATGGTTATAAAACTTTTTAAAGGTACGAAAGGGTGACAATTATAATTATCTTTACGTTTGAGGGAGAAAATAAGCTCGCTTTGATTTCCATGCTTTTGAAGGTAGCTAACCCTCCAATAACTAAACAAAAAACTTCTATGTAGTGTAACCTCTTACAAGTGATCCATCAGGCAACCCCCAAGGCTTTTAGGATCAAGAATCTATCTCTGGTCGGTTGAGGAGGAGGACGAAGAGTAGTAGAGTTAATGTTATTGTTTGAAGAGAGGTTAAGTAAAATTGTAAATAACTGGTAGATAGTCACAGTAGCAAAGCCACACAGAGGTGAATTGCTGAGTCACTATGTAGGATAGGAGAGGAAAAAACATCTCATTTTACATAAAACTGTTAGGCATCCAAAAGATTTTTAAACCAAAATCTGCAAAGGCTCTGGAGGGCTGATATCTAGAGGGCAGGACCAAATTATTACCTGTCAGTTTCTTTATAGACCCCAGAAGAAAGTATCACGTGAGGCTGCTGGCTTACAACAACGTAGAAGATGGCTATCAGGCGGATCAGACCGTCAGCACTCCGGGATGCGTGTGTAAGTAAGAGTTAGGGTAGCACGTTTCACTCTGTGTGGCTCACGGTCCTTGTTCTCCTCTTCCTTCTGTAAATTTAAGTCTCATCACTACTTGGAATTGTTGGTGGTTTTCTATCTTCCGTGGCACCTAACATAGTTATTTTGAACAAGTACGTGTTCAAACTAAATATTTAAGTGAGATGTATTTAATTATAAGAACTTATTTTACTTTTGCAAGCAAAAGACCTTTAGTAATTTAACTGGGAAAAATAACCCTGAATACCTATCTGCTCTAATCTTGAGGCTGTTTATTTCCTTCCAATTACAATGTTCAGTTTTACTGCTGCTAAGACCTGTTTGGTTTTATTGCCACTGAAGAGAGGGTGTCCGTTTAGTTTTAAGTCCACTGCTGGCCTTCTGAATGTCTTTGGCAAGTAGTTTGTCTTCTTGGTGCTTCTGTTTTAATATTTGATTCCTTATCTAACTCATGGAAGAGTTGCTCATAATTGAATGATACATCTCTAGATGTATCTATGAACCTCTTTAATGAAAGAAAGACCTAAAGTCAACTTAATAGGGTGGGGAATTGTGATTTTATCATTTTACCACTTTCTGCAGTAATATGCTGTACAGTAAATTAACATTGTCTTTTTTGATAGCTGTCCGTGATCGCATGGTTCCTCCACCACCACCACCCCACCATCTCTATGCGAAGGCTAACTCTTCATCTTCCATCTTCCTGCACTGGAGGAGGCCTGCGTTCACCACTGCACAAATAATTAACTACACCATCCGCTGTAACCCTGTTGGCCTGCAGAATGCTTCTTTGGTCCTGTACCTTCAAACGTACGTAGCTTCTATTAATGGTGGTTTTCTTTGCTCTTCTCCCTCTTCCCACTTATTTCTTACCATCTTGGGCCAGGTTGACCTTTAGCTGTAAGCACCTGTCTCAGGACTTATCTTACTTATAAAATGGCTGGGAGTTTTGTATCTTTACCATATTCAGTTCTGAAAACTGCATCTTCTGACATTTAGTTTCTATAAATGAATTTTTTGTTTGTTTCCTCAGCCTCATGCAACAAGATTAGGCAAGAAGATATTATTACTTTCAAGTGGCTACCCTTAGCATGTTTAAAGGAAAAAACAAAAGACCACTTTCATGCTGGCATCAAAAAATAAAGCTTATTTTGTCTTCTTGGTTATAGTTAGAAAAATGCCCATGATTATGGTTTAAAAGAATGATTTGACTTCCAGTATTTCAGAGGAAATCCCTTTGTATTGGGATATTTCTATACTGCCAATTCCATAGTTTCCTCTCAGGGCAATTCGTAGGCTAATTTCTATAGGATAATACCAAATGTAGTATTTTAATAGAAGAGATTGCTTTTTTAGTCTAAAAAAATTGGTTTTAAAGAAAATGAGATGATAATAACAGTATGCTTACCTATATTGACTGGAAATACTGATAATCTTTTAGAAACAAAGTACTACCAGCATTAACAACTTCATTACTCATTTTATAGATCAGAAACTCACATGTTGGTTCAAGGTCTAGAACCAAACACCAAATATGAATTTGCTGTACGACTGCATGTGGATCAGCTTTCTAGCCCCTGGAGCCCCGTTGTCTACCATTCGACCCTTCCAGAAGGTACAGACATTTATCTAAATGTTTAAGAAATAGATAGATCACTTTAGGAGCACCTGGGTGGCTCAGTTGGTTGAGCATCTACCTTCAGCTCAGGTCATGATCTCAGGGTCCTGGGATCGAGCCCTGTGTCAGGCTCTCTGTTCAGCGGGGAGCCTGCTTCTCCCTCTGCCCTCTGCCTGCTTGTGTTCTCTCTTTCTCTCTCTCTCTCTCTCAAATAAATAAAATCTTAAAATAGGTCTTTAAAGAAGATACTACCCAGTTACCACCCTGGTTAACATGTATGCATTTGTTTTGTTTCTTAACTTTTGAAATGTATTTTGTTTTATTATAGTAAATGTTTTTTCCTCTCACTGTATATATTACACAAGCCAGTGGGCTTAAATGTAATGTCTCTTTGGGGAAACACTACATTTTCTAAAATCAGGTGTACTCTTCAAGACTGAACCCAAATAATTTAAAATGGAAGTAAGTGAATAGTGTACTTAATGATGTTGGGAGCCCATGTTAGAAGTAACGTGTGTGGTGGCTTGATCCTGTGCATAGTGCAGTGGTTTGGATATCTGATCAAACACCATTTCTGGAGCTTACCTCTGTCTCTCGCTAAGGTATTTCATGTCTGTGGACCTGCATTTCCTTTTCTCTAGAATGAGGGTGAGGGGGTAAATGATCTATGTAAGGACCATCACAACTATTCTAATTATGCTGAGAGAAAGCAAAGCAAAGACATGAACTTCAGTGAGCATAGGGCCTGTTGGGTGTGGTTTTGGCTATATTCCAAATAGGATGTGATGCCAAAAACCAGCTCTTCACACTTTTAGCTCGTACTAAACATGTGGTCAACTAAAATCCCAAGCCTTGACTACTTTTGCAGATATAAAGTATTAGTCTAAGGTCTGCCCTGTAAACTCACTGATTCACAACTTTTTGGAGAATAACTAAATGTTTTGGTCTCAGAAGTATTATCTTCAGTGGTTTCCTAAATCAGGTGAAATATATATTCTGTACGTTTTAGTAAGAAATGTAGTTTAGATTCAATACCTAATGGGGTGAGACTCAATACCTAATGGGCAGGTGCTGCTGGTGGAATTGTAAACCTTTCTAGTTATCAGTTTGGCAAAACAATATCAAAAGCCCTAAAAATTCTTATGCCCTTTGACTTAGTAATTCTCCATCTAGGAATCTACCATCTCCTTTTTTTCTTTCTTTCTTTTTTTTTTTTTTTTGATGTTTTAAACATTATAAAAATGAAATTAGCTCTCAAAAAAAGAAGAAAAAAATAGTGTTTTTTTACTTTTTTTTTTTTTTTAAGATTTTATTTATTTGACAGAGAGAAACATAGCGAGAGAGGGAACACAAGCAGGGGGAGTAGGAGAGGGAGAAGCAGGCTTCCTGCAGAGCAGGGAGCCCGATGTGGGGCTCGATCCCAGGACCCTGGGACCATGACCTGAGCCGAAGGCAGACGCCCAACGACTGAGCCACCCAGGCGCCCCAGTGTTTTTTACTCTTATCATTAATGATCTGTAAAAGCTGTGATTCTGAGATGTTTTTATAGTGGTTTCTAGTTTTTCACACTCTTTTCCCTGAGTTTTCAGTCTGTTAGCCAGGTGTTTGAGTGTTTATCACCATTTAATCCTGGTAATACAGTATTTTCTCCATGTGTGCACAGCACCTGCAGGCCCACCGATTGGAGTAAAGGTGACATTGATAGAAGATGACACTGCTCTGGTTTCTTGGAAACCTCCTGATGGTCCAGAGACCGTGGTGACGCGCTATACCATCTTGTACGCGTCCAGGAAGGCCTGGATTGCAGGAGAGTGGCAGGTCCTACACCGAGAAGGTAAATATGAGCATAAATTATCAAAGAGGATGAAAAGTAAGATTATCGACGGTAAGGAAACAAACAGAAAGAAGGATCTCGAGTTTGTTTTGAATTTATATTTATGAAGTAACAGATGATAAAGGATTTGGGTTTTATTCACAGAGCATTGGGAAATCATCAGCATATTTTAAGCATGAGCATATGATTCACATTCCAGAAAGATCACTCTTGACTATTGTGACTAGAACGGGTTTGGTGCAGGAGGGATGGGTCAGAATAATGTAGAGACTAGGAGGTGACTACAGTGGTCCAGACTATAAGCCTGGATTAGGATACCGAGGATTGAGATGGAAAGGAGAGGATGGTCAAATGACAGTAGCTTAAGTAGAGGAAGAATGGGGCAAGGAAGGAAGAATTGTTATAGATGACTACCAGATTTCCAGTGGTGGTGTGTCTTGCGCTGGAGTAGCGAACACTGGAAGAAGATCTGGTTTAAGGGAGCAGACTTTTGTACTAAAATGGTCCACATACAAATAAATTGGCCCATATGAATATCAGGGTCCCACTTAAGTACTTAATTCAGACATGCATGCTGGGAAAAGAACAGTTTGCTAAGCAATTAAAAGCTTCAGAAGGATTTCAAGAAGGAAATTTGTTGGCCATCTACATATTCTAAACACTTTTACAGTACTAGGCATTTGCACATACATTTTACCTTTTAAAGGGAACATTTACCTAATTAGGATGAACTTTAAAGACCTGTGGATTTAAGATAAAACTCTCTATGCAATTGTAAAGCAAACAAATGGTGACTTTAGTTGGAATTTTAATAGTCGTATATTCATGTTTTCATTATGCCAAAGCCCCACTAAGTAATATTTTCCTAGTCACTGAAGAGACTTGAAAGTAGTTAAGTACTTGCTGGCAATACAGTTTTATATTTGCATCAGTTATCAATTGCTACCTAACAGACCACTTTAAAAATTAGCCATCCTAGTTTCTCACAGTTCTGTGAGTCAGCAGTTTGGACTGGGATCAGCGGGGCACTTCTTCTCTTGGTCTCTCCTGAGGTCACTCATGAGACTGAAATCATCTCATGGTTTCAACAGAGTGTGAGTAGCTCAAAAACAGCAAGAGAGAGTTCCAGCATCAGGAAGAGAGTGAGGAAGCTGCACGTACAAAGCTTTGCAGGCCTCTGTTTGTATCACGCTCGCTAACGTCCCACTGGGCAAAGCAGAGCAGGTAGCCAAGCCCAGACTTAGTGCGGGACCAGACTGCCCACGGGTGTGGACTGATGGAGGTACAATTTATTTGGGGCTGTTAGTCTTACAAACTACCACAATATTCTTTTTTTTTTTTTTTAACTTTTTTTTTTTTTAAAGATTTATTTATTTATTTGAGAGAGCGAGAATGAGAGAGAGAGTGAGCACATGAGAGGGGGAGGGTCAGAGGGAGAAGCAGACTCCCTGCCGAGCAGGGAGCCTGATGCAGGACTCAATCCCGGGACTCCAGGATCATGACCTGAGCCGAAGGCAGTCGCTTAACCAACTGAGCCACCCAGGTGCCCAACTACCACAATATTCTTAAAATGTACAGTTTACTTTTAGTTAATTCCAGAATGAATTATTGACACATTTGACCCTGACTAACCTGATTTATCACATGAGCACTTCTTCCCTTTAGCTCTTCATTTGTACCTGCCTAAAAAGAAACAGTATTTTGTTTCGGTTCCTTTTAACACATTCATTTGTCAGTTTCAGACAAGGCTCAGAAAACAACATTTTGCCTCATTGATTACCCAGTAGTGAAATGGGTTGTAATTGCAGGTTTTTACACCTATATAAGCTGTTCTAACTACATAATCATGCATGGGAGGGGGAAAAAAATCTATTTTTGCCATTATCCTACTTTTGTGATTTTAAGAAAAATTCTCAGCAAAAAGCTATACCATCTTGTACACGTCCTTTTTTATAGCTAATGCTAGTACTTCATAGAGGACGCAATAAGCAATATAGGTAAAAAAGAGTTGAGTTTATTTTTTTGAGTAAAAAACATAAAGGGGGGGCACCTGGGTGGCTCAGTCGTTAAGCGTCTGCCTTCGGCTCAGGTCATGATCCCAAGGTTCTGGGATCGAGCTCCGCATCGGGCTCCTTGCTCTGTGGGAAGCCTGCTTCTCCCTCTCCCACTCCCCCTGCTTGTGCTCCCTCTCTTGCTGTGTCTCTCTGTGTCAAATAAATAAATAAAATCTTTAAAAAAAAAAAAAGGGTTTGAGTCACCCACTTTTATTTTTATTTATTTATTTATTAAGATTTTATGTCTAAGTAAGCTCTGCACCCAGTGTGGGGCTTGAACTCACAACCCCGAAATCAAAAGTCACGTGCCCCACCAACTGAGCCAGACAGGTGCCCCTTGAGTCACTCACTCACTTTTAAACCAAAAGCAAAAAATATATCATGGCATTTAAATAAAAAAATAAAATATAAAATGGTCTTTAATGTCTGATTATGGCAACTTTTGGAAAAGGTGAAAGTGTAGAAAAAGATGAGGAAAGCAGAAGAGGGAGAATATCAGTATTTCTTTCCTATATATCTACTAATCTTCTATACATGTTTTGTTTATACATATTTATGTGTATAATTAATTCACATATTGCCAAGTGGAATAAGATAAAACATTTTAAAAATGTTCCTGATGACCAAATAATATTTGTGGCTAAAAATGTACATGGTCAAATGGTTGAGCAGAGATGTGATATGAAATCATACTTGTGTGTAATTTAAAGTGAATCAGAAATTAACAGCCTTCACCTTTCTGATATGCAGTAAATCAGCACAAACTAGTCAGTTCTTTTAAAATCTAAAAGGCACTATAGAAAGTCATGCCCTATAGTACAGCAGTTCCTGAACTCTGTTCCTCATAGCATGAATTTCTCACAATTGTAAAGACGCTGCTTCTTCAAAAAAAAAGTTACATGACTAAATAAATTTAACCTAAATAAATATGTCATTTCCTCCTATTAGAGATGCACATTGGAAATTAATTTTCTTCAATAAAGGAATTTAACTCAACATTTACCAAGTAAATCAGAATACCAATAGTAGGAACAAATTGATTTATTAAATGAATTATTGAGTGATTACTGTGTGGCAGGCTCTTTTCTAAGCGTTGGCAATACCACAGTGAACAAAACAATGTTCTTTCCCCTTTGAAGCTTATATCTCAGTAACACCAAATATGTAGATATTTAGGTACTGTTATAAGTGGTATTAAAAAAGCTGCAAGTGAGGCGGAAGAGACAGAATGATGGGGGTAGCAAGGTTAGGTCCTTTTGGAAGAAACATCTAAGTGGAGCCGTGTGAGTATTGGAGGAAGTGCAAAGGCCCTGAGACAGAAGTGTGCTTGGCATTAGAGGAACAACAAGAAGGCAGGGAGCCTAGAGTGAGGGGAAGAGCAGGCAGTAGGAAATCAATGGGGAGGAAACTAAGGGCAGATTTTGTAGACCACAGATTTTATTTTAGAGAGATGAAAGACATCGAAGACTTTTGATCAGATTTACATTTTGAAAGGATTACTTTGTCAACCACCTAAAAGACTGATTATAAGTTGGTAAATGTAGAAGCTGAGAGACCACTGAATATACAGGTGTCCATGTGAGAGTTAGTGGGCATTTGGACAAGGGTGATAACGAGGAAGGTAATAAGAAGCTGTTAGAACATAATTTGAAAGAACGGCCTATGAGGTTTACTGCAGATTGATGAGGAGTGTAAGGAAAGAAAGAAGCAGAACTGACGGGGGAAATCAGAGGTTTGGTTTTTGTTTTTTTTTTCAAAGCCTTTTTTTTTTAATTATGTTGTATTGATCACCATACATTACATCATTAGTTTTTGATGTAGTGTTCCATGATTCATTGTTTGCGTATAACCCGCAGTGCTCCATTCAGTACGTGCCCTCCTCAATACCCATCACCAGGCTGACCCATTCCCCATCCCCCTCCCCTCTAGAACCCTCAGTTTGTTTCTCAGAGTCCATAGTCTGTCATGGTTCGTTTCCCCCTCTGATTTCCCCCCTTCATTTTTCCCTTCCTGCTATCGTCTTCTTTTTTTTTTTTAATTTTTTTTATTCTTATATTATCCCCATACATTACATCATTAGTTTTAGATGTAGTGTTCCATGATTCATTGTTTGTGCATAACACCCAGTGCTCCATGCAGAACGTGCCCTCCCTAATACCCATCACCAGGCTAACCCATCCCCCACCCCCCTCCCCTCTAGAACCCTCAGTTTGTTTTTCAGAGTTCATCATCTCTCACGGTTCGTCTCCCCCTCCGATTCCCCCCCTTCATTCTTCCCCTCCTGCTACCTTCTTTTTTTTTTTTTTTTTTTTAACATATAATGTATTATTTGTTTCACAGGTGCAGTCAACAAAACCAAAAGAGGTTTGGTTTTTAACATGTTAAATTTGAGATGCGTCCTAGATGTCCGAGTAGAGAGGTTGATTAAGCAGTGGGAGGGTTAAGTTCATGGGAGAGGTACAGAAAGGTATACTAGTGGTATAACTAGGTAGATGATTTTTAAGACTGTGGAACTGGAAAACAATCACAGAGTGTAGACGGAAGTGAGTTCTGAGACTGCATTCTGGAGCACTTCTCCAACCTCAAAATCTTATCCCGTGCTTTTTTATCCTCCACGAACACTCCTTTGGCGACAAATAGCTCATATTTTAATATAAGTTCAATTTGGCACTTACTGAGAATTATCTCGTACAAGCATTATGCCAGCCACCTTAAGCTGTTCAAATATGAAAAAAATTTCTGTTCTCCAGAAGGGGGAGGATCAGAGGCGAGGAAGAAGACTCACTTTCATGGAGTAAATACACTTATGTCAGAGACTTGCCAGTGGTAGTTTATTTAATCCTTTCCAATAACTATATGAGGTGGGAATTATTGCCCCCATGAGGAAATTAAAGTTCAGTAATGTGCCCCAAGTCACAAATTACTTAGTTGGTAGCATGCCAGCATTTGATCAACATTGATCCAACACTGAGCCTATTGTACTGTCTGGTTTCTGAAACTCCTAAAATAGCTGAAGATTCAGACACATATGAAAGGCAGTGGACTGGCATAATCACACTAACCGAGATTCAGATAGTGTGCTGAGAGAAGAGAAGGACAGGCAGATCACTTTAATATTTGGGAACTGCTTTGAGTTCACTGCTTTTTTCCTCATAAAGAAGCCAGAATGTTAGTTTCCTTTTTGTGTGTGAAGGAACACTCTTTTTGTGGAAGGAAGGGGAGCACTTGCACACATCCACACAGCTCATTTGCTTATAAAACCTGAATTAAATGAAAAGACTTTTTGGGGAACCTGAGTGGCTCAGTCGGTTGGGCATCTGCCTTCAGCTCAGGTCATGATCTCAGGGTCCTGGGATCGAGCCCCGCATCTGGCTCTCAGCAGGGAATCTGCTTCTTCCTCTCACTCTCCCTCTCTCTCAAATAAATAAATAAAATCTTAAAAAAAAAAAAAAAGACTTTTAATTTCAGGTAGGGACTGGTTTTTGCCAAGCATTTTTAAAAATTAAATGTGAAGTATTCTGTGCTAAAATGGAAACTCAATTTATTTATATGTCTCTTGTGAAGAAATTGAAATGTTCTTCCTTCTAGTTAATTGTAACACGTCACAGTACATCTTTGGTTTTTATTCACCTGTCTGAGAACATGGTAACAGTAGAAAGACTCTTCCTCATTCTAAATAAGAGTCAGCTTGTTTACTTAACATTTGTGTACTCAAGTAGCTCACACTCTCTTCAGGCCAGACTGAAACCAGAGAACATGAAAACAAGCCGTGTTCAGCCCTCGCAGAGCTGCTTGGTTGAGCTGCCTCCCGCCATGTGACCTCAGAGGTGGCCTCCGAATCCTGACCTGAGCTCTGAGATCACCCCACATTTCACTTGCATAATGAAATACACTCTAGCAAGTGTAGAATAGTCCAGTCTGGCCTGGAGGTGACTGCTACAAGCTGTCGTTAAGCTCTTCAGAGCTATTGCAAGGATGCTCTGGGAGGGTGGGGGGAGTGAGATGACGTCACCCGAGGGAAGCTAGGTTCCCTGTGAATATCAACTCACAAATGCAGTGCATACTGGAACAACTTTGTGGTTGAATTCTCTTACACCTGTGTTCTTTTTTTTTAATTTTAAAAAAATTTTTTTTAAAGATTTTTATTTATTTATTTGAGACAGAGAGAATGAGAGAGACAGAGAGCACACGAGAGGGGGGAGGGTCAGAGGGAGAAGCAGGCTCCCCGCCGAGCAGGGAGTCCGATGCGGGACTCGATCCCGGGACTCCAGGATCATGACCTGAGCCGAAGGCAGTCGCTTAACCAACTGAGCCACCCAGGCGCCCTACACCTATGTTCTTAACATGAGAGTTCATTCCTAGGGTGGGCGTCCCCTTTGTAAGAAAAATACTTCCAGGCCATGGCAGAACTAAGAGCAGAAAGACCCGTCAAGGAATAGTAGTACACACATAGCAATCCTTCTTAGCCATCATGCCAACAGAGAAAATGCCTTTGATATCAAATATCATATATAAATTCAAGTGATGGTGACTTTGGAGAGAAGTAGATGCTGTGCAGGTTACTGGTGGTCGTTTTGGTAGTTAACCTGAGGTCTAGGTCTTCAACACTCTGAGGTTCCTATATAACTTTGGAATTTTCTTTCCTGTTCATTCCCAAGAAATCTTAGATAATGATTGGGTGAGTGAGAAATATATTCATACTTTCAAAAATAATTGTTTCTAATTTAAGAACAAGATCATCTGTCACAGTGATTACCATTAGTAGTTTAAACATTTTCTTTTTCAGTTTTATTTTTTTTTTTTAGTAATCTCTTCACCCAGTGTAGGGCTCACACTCACAACCCCAACATTAAGAGTCACATGCTCTACCAACTAGCCAGCCAGGGGCCCCTAAACATTTCTAAAAGAAAAAAAGCCTTTCACATTGGATCTAGAAAATCTAACTATGACTGTTGAATCTGGGTTCATTATAAACGTTCTCTCTTTACCTATGTTTGAAATACTCTATTCTAAAATGTTTTTAATGCTGTTTGTATCCAATTTTATAAATTTTGGGGGGGGGGTAAAAAAATATATTAAAACGTAAACAAAAAAACCTATTACTTTAGAACACTACTCCTAAAACAAAATTACAGAGAAAGATTGTATAGAGGCAGCGTGCATGATGATACAAAGTTAAGTGAAAACTCTAAAATATAAAAAATGCCTGTAGTGGGCGCCTGGGTGGCTCAGTTGGTTAAGCGACTGCCTTCGGCTCAGGTCATGATCCTGGAGTCCCGGGATCGAGTCCCGCATCGGGCTCCCCCTGCTCAGCGGAGAGTCTGCTTCTCCCTCTGACCCTCCTCCTTCTCATGCTCTCTGTCTCTCATTCTCTCTCTCGCAAAAAAAAAAAGCCTGTAGTAAATACGTACCCACATATGTACGGTGCACGCATGGGCATGCACATGCGTGCACACACACACACACAAATATACCAAGATGTTAACAAAGGGAGATTAGATTGTCCTCTTATTTCTATCTGTCTGTGGATTCCAAACGCTCTACAATGAACATGGTGTTCCTTTTATAATCAGAAAATATTTGTTAAATAAAGGACCACGATGGTATGTTTGAAAGAATGAATAAAAGATAAAAAAAATTAATGTTTACTTAATTTGCAATCGATCTCTTTATAGGGGCAATCACCATGGCTTTGTTAGAAAACCTGGTGGCAGGAAATGTGTACATTGTCAAGATATCTGCATCCAATGAGGTGGGAGAAGGGCCCTTTTCAAACTCGGTGGAGCTGGCAGTCCTTCCGAAGGAAACCCCTGATTCTAATCAGAGGCCCAAGCGTTTGGATTCTGCCGATGCCAAAGGTCTGTACGCCACCACAGTTACTGAGCTTTCTGAAGAACGTTCAGTGTTTCTTCAGCTCTCCTGCACTGTATTTCTGCTCCTCCCGCAGCCATATCCCTGCACTTGGTCTCTTGAATTGTTGCCGGTGCGGTTCTGATGCTGTGAAGCTACCGGCTGTCCCTTGCCCTCCACAGGGAGACCAGCTTACCTCCCAGTCAGCTGCCGTTTTCACCACTGTGTCCCAGTTACTCCTCTTCCCAGCTGCACAGCCACCACGACCGAGGAGCCACGGCCCCGAAAACCGATGGGAGTAGCTTCCAGGGAGGGTTCACGGAAATAAACAGCTGCGCTGGCTATGGTGTTCAAGCTGAGAGCGTGGTTTTCATTAAGAGTTGTTGCCACAGAAAAACGGCCTTTCTGGAGAGAAAGTTGTTTCTCTCCAGAAAAGCAGTTGGAAGAAGTATCTTTAAAAGAGCCACCCTCAGGGGCACTTGGGTGGCTCAGAGGGTTAAGCGTCTGCCTTCGGCTCAGGTCATGATCCCGGGGTCCTCAGGTCACGTCCCTGGGTCTTGGTATCGAGCCCCATGTCGGGCTTCCTGGCTCAGCGGGAAGCCGCTTCTCCCTCTTTCTCTTCCTCTGCCACTCCCCCTGCTTGTGCTCTCTCTCTCTCTACCTCTGTGTCTCAAATGAATTTAAAAAAAAAATCTTAAAAAAAAAAAAAAAAGAGCCACCCTCACTCCAGGGCAACTGTCCTGTCCCAAAGGAAGCCAGGGCCCCCCCTGTGGTACAGGACAAGAAACCATCTTTTCCTCTTCTTGGGGTGGGGGGAGTGCGCCTGCAGAGGGCGATGGGGCTTTAAATGGAGGAAATGTCAGCTGAACTCAACAGGATTAAGGGTAGCTCCTCAGATGCCTCAGTGCCGTGTGTGTGTGTGTGTGTGTGTGTGTGCGCGCACGTACGTAAGTATGTATGTACGTACACAGATGGGTTTAAGCATTGGAGGGAGGCAGCGGTGGTAGCTCCCTTATCATGGGAAAAGGAGAGCAAGGCTCATAGTCCCTTCTCAAATACCTGCTACTCAGAGTGTCTATGGACCAGCAGCATGAGTATTACCCAAGAGCTTGTTAGATGTGCAGAATCATGGGCCCCACCCCAGACATAGTGAATCAGAATCTGTATTTTAACATATCCCCTAGTGATCATGTGAACATTAAAGTTTGAGGAGCACTGCTATGTAAATGCAGATATGGACACGGGAAACTCATCTTTAATATACAGATCTGCTTTTAAGGTAACATGACATGAAAGTTACCATTTGGTTCAAGAAACGTCTATGCTTTGTGCCTTTTAGCATTATAAGTTATTAACTGATGTTCGTGTTTCATATAATAATACAGCATTTAGAATTGGTAATTTGGAATCTTCAGTATGGGAATATATAAACTGATCTTTGAGATTACTGATAAAAAGAGTAATATGTGTCTTTTCTTCTTGGACACATACTGTCAAACATTTTCCTCGGAGAGGAAGAAAAATTATAGAAAAGCAAATAGCTATCTTAGAATTATAATAAATGGACTCATTTATTTTTCTGATTGATACTGAGTAAATGTGTTTCTGCTTTTAGTTTATTCAGGCTATTACCATCTGGACCAAAAATCAATGACTGGCATTGCTGTAGGCGTTGGTATAGCCTTGACCTGCATCCTCATCTGTGTTCTCATCTTGATATACCGAAGTAAAGCCAGGTGTGTTCCCGTGGAGAGACATGTTGAGGTGGTTAAAAAACATTTAAATTACAGTAACCACCAGAAGCAAATTGAAATCCAGTGCCTTCTACAGTAACTGGGATTTTCCACTTTCAAATAATGTTACTTGAGTTCTTTTTTTTTTAAATTTTTTATTGTTATGTTAATCACCATGCATTACATCATTAGTTTTCCATGTAGTGTTCCATGATTCATTGTTTGTGCATAACACCCAGTGCTCCATGCAGTACGTGCCCTCTTTAATACCTATCACCAGGCTAACCCATCCCCCCACCACCCTCCCCTCTAGAACCCTCACTTTGTTTTTCAGAGTCCATCGTCTCTCATGGCTCATCTCCCCCTCCGATTTCCCCCCCTTCATTCTTCCCCTCCTGCTATCTTCTTCTTCCTTTTTTTTTTTTTAAACATATAATGTATTATTTGTTTCAGAGGTACAGATCTGTGATTCAACAGTCTTGCACAATTCACAGCACTCACCATAGCACATACCCTCCCCAATGTCTATCACCCAGCCACCCCATCCCTCCCACCCCACACCACTCCAGCAACCCTCAGTTTGTTTTTCAGAGTCCATCGTCTCTCATGGCTCATCTCCCCCTCCGATTTCCCCCCTTCATTCTTCCCTTCCTGCTATCTTCTTCGTCGTCTTTTTTTTTTTTTAACATATATTATTTGTTTCAGAGGTACAGATCTGTGATTCATCAGTCTTGCACAATTCACAGCACTCACATACCCTCCCCAATGTCTATCACCCAGCCACCCCATCCCTCCCACCCCCCACCACTCCAGCAACGCTCAGTTGTTACTTGAGTTCTTAATTGCTACAGAGATGTGCTCACTTTGCAAGGAGATTTTTTTTTTTTTTGCCATTTGAAAAAAATTACTGTGCCAATAAGATGTTCTTAAATGAGGCCCTAGTTTCTTCATGTACTTTTCATTTTGAGAAGTACAAAGTATATCCTTTGGTTTCTTTTTTAAAATGGCACACGTCATCTGATGCATATGCTGACTGTGAGGAGATTCATTACTGTCCGGAATATTTTCATATCTAAGTAGCCTGCCATTGAGAGCTCCTCCCTTATTTCCATAGGACATGTGTTCGGAATTCTCTAGACATGGGGTTAAGATACATGTGATAACTAGGGATTTGTTCTCTGTAAACTCTCTTAGGCAATCTCATTTGTAGTTTGGCTAAATTCTCAGCGTGCAGTAAGTTTGTCTATTTCTAACCTTTTATATTTTGGCTTTTGCTTTCACGGTTCCTTATTGTATTTAAAAAAAAATCAAAGTCAGGTACACATTATTTTTGGATAATCCTTATCGCTAGACTCCCTCCATTAGCCTTGACTATCAGGATTTACTCTTTATGTATGGTACTTGTATATAAAAACATACTCAGAAAACATATTATGTTAGAGAAAGAATTCTAACATCTTGTTGTATATTTGATTAACATAGTTTTGCTGTACAAGTTTCTCACTTGAAGAATATTTTTATAAAATCTTTCTGTACATTGTTCTACTGATACCTAAATCTTGCAGAAGTGCTGCTGTAAATTTGCCATCATTAACTGGCAAGTGAATTGTTATGTTAGTGTGACAATCAGGCAGACCTGAAAGAGAACATGTAAATTTTAAAATTATAATTTCCACATAAATTTGAAGTAATCAACAGTAATAAATAATAGTACTTTGTAAATATTAAGGTTTTTATTAAGTGTAAAAAATAATTTTCTATAAGCAAATACTGGGACAAAAACAAAGAAGTTTCCTAAAATCATAAAAGTTTGCAGCAGTGAGTTTGAGGTAAAAATCTAACACTCAGTTTCTGAAGATACTTGAGAAATAAGCATTGAAGAACTCCACTGTTTGTAAAGTCATCATTTTAGGCCACATTTGGTACATTCGTCCAGATCTCCTATGAAATTGGAAGATTTCCTTTTCTTGGGATATTTCAGGAAATCATCTGCTTCCAAGACGGCACAGAATGGAACTCCACAGTTACCTCGCACTAGTACCTCCCTAGCCGGTGGGAGTGAAGCCGGAAAGAACCTGGGAGGAGCTGGAGAAAATGAAGAATCCTTAATGCCAATGATAATGCCAAACAGCTTCATCGATGCAAAGGTACCCTGAGCTGAGATACTGATTTGCTGTGATTTGATGAACTCCGTCCGTTCATCTTCCCTTGATGTGTGAAATTGGCTTACTAAAAAATCCTATGTTGGACGTATTATGTCCATATTCTACTTGATGAAATAGAAAACAGTTTCATCCAGATCCTTCCTTATGTAAAATACATGGGGAGAATATAAGGATGGATAAAAGATAAAGGAATAAAAGATTAAAGAGAGTAAAAAATGAGAAAACAGCATAAATTCAATTAGATGGGGTTATGTGGAGCTAACGTGTTTTAGATAAGGACACAAGGGTCATCAGTCTATATTTACTATAATTTGGATTGCCCTGTATTTACTCTGTGGGCAATTTTTTTATTAATTCATTTTTATACTTAGTTTGGTTGATTTTTTTTTAACTGCCTTGGACATTAGAACATTCCAGGTATCAACTACAGTTTTAAAAATATGGAGTATCTAAATAGATGTCTCAAGATCCTTCCCTTTATGGCTTGAGGAAGTTGGTTATAATAAAGAAGTGTCATTGGAAGATTTTACTTCATGTCCTTTCCACTATATGTAATAATAGTACAGTGATAAGCATTAGGAAGACCAACTGAAAATTATTTTTAGTCACATTGCAACATTAGATAGCGTGCATTATCATAATAGCTCTCATAACCAATGCGGTGTAAATCAGGTATCCATAAACTATAGCCCAGCCCAGACTAGCCCACAGCCTGTTTTTGTATGAGCTAAGAATGTTTTTCACATTTTTAAAGGGTAGTTTGAAAAAAAAAAAAAAAGAGCAGAAAATGAGACAGAGGCCATATGAGGCCTGCAAAATCTAAAATACTATCTGGCCCTTTACAGAGAAGGCTTAACAAATCCTGGTCTAAATTCTTCCCCAACCCTTTTCTAAAATTTAGAATAATAAGAGAAATATAACAAAATTTCAGGCAGTTTTGATATTAATTTTTTTTGAAGACTTTATTTATTTGTCAGAGAGAGAGAGAGCACAAGCAGGGGGAGTGGGAGGCAGAGGGAGAAGCAGGCTCCCTGCTGAGCAGGGAGCCTGATGCGAGATTCGATCCCAGGACCCTGGTATCATGATGTGAGCCGAAGGCAGATGCTTAACTAACTGAGCCACCCAGGCGCCCCTGGTATTAAATTTAATATAATTATATTTAACAGATGCAATCTACTTGAATCTAGTATAGCGCTATATATTATATATATTATGAGTAAATAATAATGACTTGATTTTTGTTACTCCTGTTGTCTTTTTTGTTTGCAACTTAATTTAGCTTTTATTTTCTGATACAAATGTAAACCATTCAACTTATTTCCAATTAATCTAGAACACTGGAACCTAAAACTTCTAAATAAGCATAAAAAGTACTAAAGCACATTGAGGTTCTCTTATTACTAACTTGGAGCTTGGCATGAGAAAAGATTAGGAGAAGTGGCATGGGGAAGAGGACATGGGAAAAAAAGAGAGAATCTTAAGTGAAAAGAGGCCTTTTCAGAGTGGGGGTCTGTATGAAGCAGAGAAGCCTGATATCTATGTTCCCTCGGCTTAGGCTAAGAGCTGATCCTGCATTTATTGCCATTTTGTTGAGCATATGCGGGCCCATGGTTTTTTTCTTCCCAACTGCTTTTTAAGTTTCTCAGATATGTGGAAAGGTTGAAAGAGTAATATAATGAATGCACAAATAATTGTCAATATCTTGTCTATACTTCTATATGTATATGTTTTAAAGATTTTATTTATTTGACAGAGAGAGACACAGCGAGATAGGGAACACAAGCAGGGGGAGTGGGAGAGGGAGAAGCAGGCTTCCCACAGAGCAGGGAGCCCGATGCGGGGCTCCATCCCAGGACCCTGGGATCATGACCTGAGCCGACGGCAGACGCTTAATGACTGAGCCACCCAGCCACCCCATACTTCTATGTTTCTATGTATTTTTGTTTGCTGTAACATTTGGAAATAATTTTTAGAATTATTACACTTCACCCCAAATACTTCAGCATATCTCTCTCTGAAGAATAAACCTATTATATCTTTTTGATCACTAACAAATTTTGCCTTGTATTTGTGGGGTACTGTTTATGTAAAAGAAGAAATAGTGATGTCCCTGACGGTTTTTTCTTTTAACATTTAAAAATTTTGTGTACTACTTGTAATAAACTGAAATCTGTAGTATTTACATTTTCTCCTTTTATATCTCCAGGGAGGAACTGACCTGATAATTAATAGCTATGGCCCTATAATTAAAAACAACTCTAAGAAAAAATGGCTTTTTTTCCAAGATTCTAAGAAGATAAAAGTTGAGCAGGTAACCCACCTAAATGAGAAAAATTTTTGGCAACCCATGGTATCATGAAATGATAATTAAAAAGAGAGGAAAATGTAAATGAAGGCCTTAATTTTCATGTTCTGTCTGGATATGATTTTATTAATTTGGGGCATAACTGTGGAAATCCATGGCGCGTGATCATTGAAGTGACAGTTGGAATAGTAACCAGAGCTGTAGTTTTCAGCAGGGAATGGGGGGCAGTGGAGGAAGGGATGTGGCAGGAGTAAGCATCAAAAATCACTGAAGAAGACTTTAGACACTTCACTTGCCCCAGTAATCCTCATGTGTTGCCACTTGGGTGGGGGACTGCTGACCTAGATCATCTCTTCATGATGGTAGCCTTCCACCCATATCCTTGAACAGATGACTATTTCAGAACATACAGACTACGTAAAGCCATATTTATTATTTTTCAAGAGCACTGTGTCATCACTGATGGTGTTTTATGTATTTTTAGCCTCAAAGAAGATTTGCTCAAGCGGTGTGCTTTTACCAGCCAGGCACTACTGTGTTGATCAGTGATGAAGACTCTCCCAGCTCCCCGGGTCAGAGAGCCAGCTTCCCAAGACCCTTTGGTGGTGTTGCAGCTGATACTGAGCACTCAGCCAATAGTGAAGGCAGCCACGAGACGGGGGATTCTGGAAGGTTCTCCCATGAGTCCAATGACGAGATACACCTGTCCTCAGTCATAAGCACCACACCCCCAACTTCCAGTTCCTTCACTGGCAGTGAGTCAGGTGGGGATCCCTCCTTGAGGAAGCGTGAGGACCCAGCAGTGCCGCTGGATGCCGAGCAAACTTCCTCCTCGGTTTTGCAGCTGCCGTCCGCCATGCTGCTCTTTGATAAAAACGATTTTCCAATCTAGAGAACCATGTTCAGGTATTGCCACCTTTAAGTCTGTTCGAAGGACAATGAACAGGGAGCCAAAGCCTTTTGTGAAAATCTTGGTGTCTTATTGGGTAGTTCAGCATTTTTTTTTTTTTTTTTGGAATGTATTTTGTTTTTTTATGTTTAAACTCATGTATTTTGAATGTGTCATTGTCAGCAATGTGAAGAGACAGTCAAGATATTTGACTGGATTATAAAATATATCACTGGAGCAAAGGGAAGACTTTGGAAAGCCCCTTTGCTGACTATCTACCTCAGTTTGCCAGGTGGCGAACTCAGAAGAGACAACTTTGTTACCTCATTTATTGTGGTAGTTTATCTCCGCTCCATAACCAATGATACTTCCTAGTAGCATTTTGTTTTCATTGCTGTATGTGTAGTGCGTGTGATCAAGGGAGTCATATAGGTATATGAGTAAGAATGTTTATCTGAAGCTCTGATTTTTTTTTTTAAAGAAAATTCTGACATCTGCATGGTTTGGAAAATGTCATACCTCCACTGTGAGGACTGTCGAACCACTGAGAAGAGAAAAAGTGGGACTGTTGATTTTAACGAATGACCAAAACAAAACAAAAAAAGTGTCTCTCTTTTGAGAACAGAACTATTCAGTAGCATATGGGAAATTCTGTGACTTCAAGGGCCTTTCTGATTTGGGCATTAGCGTCCGAGTGCTTTACCTGCTGTACCCTAAACCTCAGCTGCCTAGAGCCGTGCCTTTTCTACCTTCCCCTTTGCCTGATGGTCGGCCAAAGGCTGCACTGTCTAGTTTGCAAAGCATCCTCACCGTTTCCAGAGTTAGTTGCAAAACTCCATGCAGAAAACAGATTTTTAAAGAGAATCGATTAGAGTTTTTGTTTTTTAATCCCACCTTGACTTAAAAAGGGTAAAGAAATTTCATAAAATATTAAGAATAAAGATAAATGCAACAGTAGACCATAAAATGAACTAGAGGTTATCATGGTAACAGTGCCTTCCATTATATATTATGAAATTCTTTGCCTTATACCTTTTTAATATTCATGAAGTTGTTCAGGACAAGAGTACAGAAAGTTGCCTTAAGAGTTTCTTGGATTTTATCAATAACTATTTTGATGTATAGTATCTTATCAAAGCATTTTAGTTTGTCTTCATGCAGGTTTGGTTTAGGGATAAGTATTCAGAGCTCTACCACCTTGCTTGTATTTTCTTGAATTCTTAAGAGAATTTGGTACTCTATTTATAATCTTCTTTCCGTGTCAATGCTGTGAATGAGGAATGCTAACTCCAGGAGTGAGTTAATCCTCTTGCTGGTTTGAAATCAGCAAACTGTTTACTCAGCCACATAGAATAGGCCTTCTTTCAGTCATGAGACAGTTACCTACTAGGTACCCAGCAGTGTAAGAGGAAAAAGAATTAAACACATGGTGTAGAGAGGGGACCCCATTTTTTTTGGTAAGTATTTCTTCACATTATCTGGAAATGACTTCTGAGCCTCATTTTTTAAAAGGAATCTTAATGGATTTCCCCTTGAAACCTTTGGTTTATGGGGTGGGGGTGGGGAAATGATGCTAAATGGTGTTCTAAAATCAAAAGAATATTACTGGGTGTAACAGTCCCACCTCCATCATCTCCTATCCCAGTGTCTGATGATGCATCTCTTATTGTTTCTTAATCTGCAGTTTTGTGCCAAACTGGATGTGTTCAGAAGCAGACCAACATTAAGTGCCAGCAACCACTGGTGAATAAAGTCAAAGTCCCCATTTAGTTATCTAAGTAGGGGCTTCATGGCAAAACAAAAAAAGCAGAGCTTTAGGTGAACAATCTGAGGCAAGGAAAAATGCTCCTCGTGCCTTTATAGCTCCTGTTTATACTACCTCCTTTTAAAGTTATTCTAGTGTTATTTTTTTCCTGTACTCAGGGAACATTTTGTTACTTTTAAGCTGCCTCATGCAAGCATGGGCAGATTGACAGGGTATGGTGTCTTTTGGTTCGTAAGTAGTTTTGTGGGGCCAACTTTTATCAGCATCCAAAATTAAGGAATATAAGGAGTTTGCTTTATTTTTTAAACTTTCATTAAAAGGCAGATAAAATCTAAAGTTGAAACATCATCCATCATGGTTATGGAAGATGTGTCCAGGGCTGCATGAATTTGAATCATTTTAAAAGTCTAAAAAGATGATCTGACAGTCCTTGAGGAAAGTATTTTTGTTTGTTTTTTGGTTTTTTTTTTGATGAATAGGCCCATAGTTATGGTAGATCTTTAGGCTATAACTGTTTGCTAATTATTTACCAGTACATTTTTACTTTTTCACCTTTTCATTGTGTTCTTATACAGATTTTTTCATAATAATTCTGTTACCAAAGAATTTTCAGTAGAAAGTAAAAATTTGACTATAATTTCCCCCCAAAATTGAATTAACTAGAAACATCTATAGGTATGAAGCTTATATAAGTAGTTACTAACCCAAAATAATAGGGTTTATATTGATTGTTGTAGTTAAATAGACTAGTAATTTCAACCTACCTTATTGTTACCAGAGCATTTAAAATAAGTTCTTTACCAGCATATAGTTCCAAAGAATTTCAAGTGTAATTTTTTTTTTCTTCAGCAAGTAAATCTTCATAGACAGTATTAGAGTAAAGTATTTTTAAATTGTTGAAACTACTTGTTGGAGAGAAAAAAAATCTTTTCACCAAAGATAAATATTTTGGTCTCATTGAATAAGATGTTTAGTATACACCAAAGACTTCTTTTTACTTGGCCAAAGCTAGCTTCTTTGAAGTCTTAAGTATAAAACTGTAACTAAAATGTGAAGGTTCTCATTCGTCTCTCATAGTGGTGTTACTTCATGGCATTTCATTCCAACGGGGTTAATATGCAAATGGTAACTATTTTCTTTTCCAAAGACTTATTTGCTGTAAGTACTGATACACGCATGCCATCTTTATGCCAAATATTACAAGATACTGCTCATCAGTATTTTCATACCAAAGACCATTAAAGTATATAGATTAGCCTGTAAGTAAGTAAAGATGAGCAGATTTGAGATAAATTTATTTAGAGGCTGATAGGAATCTAGCTTTAGTAGCAAAAGATATCAAAGGGCTAAGTTTACATAATTAAAAGCAATACAATTATGTTGGTATTTATCAGTGTTTTTATTCAAGTACTTTTTATCAGCAAATTATAAAAAACCAAAGATATTTAAGGTTACCTCCGCATATAGACAAATTTAGTTGTACATTAAACTGTTGTTTCTTGTTTTTATGTCAAACAAACTTGTCTCTCCAGAACCCAGTCTGTATCCAGATAGCATACATAGGGACTTTCCATCAAATCTGCTGATTCAGCCACAGGATGTTTTTGCCAAATGATGTGATTACTCTCCTAAGCACCTTGAGTGTGAGATGTCAACAGAAATCTCAGCAAGTTTTCCATTCCAGAGCATATGGCAAACCCTGAATTAGCCTGTGCAGTCTTCTTCCTGCTTAAAGCATTACCTGGTTGACTCAGAAGACTTGAGGCAGTCCCAAAATAATAGGGACATTCTCATCTCTGGGGAGCAGTGGCATATAGTGGGCAAACAAATCATATCACTGTTTAAGGGGGCTATCCTTCGATTGATGTGCTCTTTAAAGTTGTCCATAAGTCGAAATATTTTAATTTCATCAAGGGACCCTAGTGTTTCAAACTTTAGGGGGAACCTTGGGTGAAACCATAATCTTTTTAATGAAATCTGGGGTTTTATATTTTGATTAGCCTAAAAGGAAAGACACAGCTTTATCCACTAAGTAGCTTTTAAAAAATCGGCTTTAGCACACCAGGGAAATTCGATCCTCGGTGAAATGCCTTTTATTTGCCTTTGCTTCAGATAAGAGCACTGCCAACATTGGGGACAATGACAGTGATTTGCATTAGTTTGTCTTGACTTTGTTAAGGACTTCTGCCAGAAACTTGCTCATGTTGACTACTCAGGATCACTGGTCAAGTCCATATGGAGACAACTTTGAAGAGTGTCCCGAAAAGATGAAATTGAAAGTATCTTTTTATTTTAATTCAAGAATATCCAGATGTGGTTCCATTTCACTGGTGGTGTAGTGATTCACATATGTTTCTGTTTCATTGAATGTAAATTTTTAATACTGAATGTAAAAAAAAAAGTTTCAACTATATGGAAAGAGTCATGATCTTTCTAAGACTAAACATGTATTTTGTAAACTCTGTTCTTGACAAGTTGCCACATGGATGTCTGGTAAAATTGCTTCGGTTTAATAGAATAATTTGTGGGCTGTGAGCAGAGTAGAGGGTTCTGGAGATTTCCATATACAACCAGTTGTCTACTTGTGACTTTTATTGGTGTTTAGAAGAACATATACATAGAATTCTGTGTTAAGTTGATTTATGCTCAGGACATAAGATCACAGGCTAATGCAATGTGTATGTCTGCAGGCTTTAATCTTCTCAGGCAGTTTCCCTTTTTAAGCCTTTGAAAGTGTTTAGGATTATGACAGTCTTGCATTTTTATCAGACAGATGCTGTATTTTCTTAATGCTGCTGTAACAAATTATCACAAACTTGATGGCCTTAAAACAACACAGATTTATTACCTTCCACTTCTGTAGGTCACAAGTCTGATACAGGTCTCACTGGGGTAAAATCAACGTCTGTTTCCTTGGGGTTTTTTTTTCTGGCTTTTAGAGGCTGTGGACTCTTCCCTCCATCTTCACTCTGACCCTGCTTCCATCATTGTATCTCTTTTTCTGACCCTAATCAGGAAAGGTTCTCCAGTTTTAAGGACACATGTGATTAAAGTGGGTCCACCTGGATAATCCAGGATAATCTCCCCATCTCAGAATCCTTAACTTAATCACATCTGCAAAGTCCCTTTGCCACGTATGGTAACATATATAGAGTCCAAGGATTTGAGCATGCACTTTTGTGTAGGGCCATTATTTTGCCAACCGTAGATACATTATTACTGTAGAACTGTATAATTCTGATCCCTACAAAATGTCTGTTGCATTACAGAGATTGGAAGTCTGAAGTCATGTGCCCCTTAGGGATCTTCAAAATCTCAAAGCTATGAAAACCTTGGCTTGTAGTTTATCAAGTGTACACATTAAACTTCCTTTCTAGATCACTTGCAAAAACAATTCAGCTTTAAACTTTTTGAATATTTGCTTTATAAATTAACGTCTCAGTTCTATGCATTTAACAGAAAGTTTCCTTGGCTCTAATTTATGGAAGTTCCTCAGAAATTTTTGATAACTGTTCTTATTATAGTTGAACTTTCTGCCTTTCTCTTAAGTAATTATGTTGCTGGGGAGGGTTAGGGGGAAAAAAACCTCAAACATAGGGACTCAGTAGGTGAACAGAATCATGCTCATACCCATTCTTCGTCTTCTAACAGGATATTTGCAACATGCCACCTTTCTACTAAATCAGGTTTATTTCTTCAGCTGTTTTATTTTCAGTGTGGTAACCGCTCGATTTCCCATCAACCTCAGCAGGAGCCTCCACTCACCTCATCAGAATGTGCACATCCTAAGCAGTGTTATCTTCCTTGTCATGCTCTTTCTTTGATTTCAGTTGTCCCTCTTCCTGGAAAGTTTAGATTCCACAGCTCAGGTTCGTTCTAATTCCTGGATGGTTCAAGTCAATCCTTCTTTCAGTTTTGAAGGATAGTGTCTAGTTCTAACCCTAATTTTCAGTACGTCTTAACTAAGGAGATAAAGCTATCTCCATTATGGGGTAGAGACCATGGTGATATTCTGAGTCGGGATAATGTACTGGTCATTTTTCAGCTGCTTTTGACCCCAGTCTCTAGGAAGAGATAATGCGATTTACTGAGCATATGCAGTGTGCCAAACACATGCTTCATTCCTGCAAACTACTACATTCTGCAAAGCAAATATTGCCCCCATTTTAGAGATCAGGAAACCGAGGTTTAAAATGTCTAACTTGGCCAAAGATCACAGCTGGTTAAGTGGCTTAGCCAAGATACAAACCCAAGTTGGTTTAATTCCAAAGTTGATAGGATTTTTACTAGGATACATTTTCTCAGCTAAGAAATTATATTTAATTACTCTGGCTCGTGGTGCCTTCTGCTGTGTCAACACAACCTGTCCACATAGTAATAGCCGATCAACAGAAGTCTTAGTTGTGTCCATTTATTCACAGGAGGAATTTAGGAGGCTGAGCTGTAACTCACCTCTTGTAATCTCCTAACCTCCTCCTTTTCTCTGTTAAAACCTTCAATTTCTCTTAGCCAATATTGCCTGAAAACTGGTGCTTGTGCCTAGGGTTACATTAGAAATAAGGTAGTTTTGGTTTCCGGAGTCGTTCAGGCATTTGCCTAATAGATTAGGTGTTCAGAATTGGATTTTATCTTATGTGATTTTTCTATAGTCCCCATATCCAAATAGGAATTTATTAACTGGGAAAAGCCAAGTGTGTAACCAGTCATCCTTCCTTGCTAGATCTGGAGTCAATAGTTTTTACATGAATTACTACCTAACTAATTCTTCACACTAATTTAGGAGGGAGCAAAGTTGAGGGAGAGTCGTATAATAGAACCAAGTATAAGTTTAGTTATTGGAGCACCTAAATTCTAGTCATTTACCATTTTGAGAATTGTGTGGTAGGAAAGTTCTTAACCTATTTCTGTTCCTTCTCTAACCATGAAATGAGGGGATTTCTTGTGCAGAATGAAGCAATAGTACTATGAAAACTTAAAAGGAAAACAAAGTGTAAATAATTATAATCTGCAAGTCATTTCTATGAGGCTGTGAAACATTTCTTAACGGATTTTTTTTTCTTTACAGGTCAGCCTTTTCAATTACGTTTTGCCTGTGCTAAAATGAAAAATGTTTGCATTTCCTGTATGTGCACCAAAAACTAACAGAAGAAAGTGGTTGTTAAAAGATAAAGACTAGTATTTAAACGCTAATCTGTAAGGTAGGAAAATCTACAAAAGGATATGGGAATTTGCCTCAATTTAAATCTTTCATTTTTTTAAAGATAATATTGTTCTACATTTTACTATGGTGCTATTTACATGAGTGTATACAATTACCAAATTTTCTCAAATTTACCCTTTAAACTGATATATTTTGTAATTTAAACTATATATCAAGAAAGCTGGAAAAAAGTATTAAGTGTTATCCTACATGATTTTTCATAGTAAAAATAAATTTCATCACAGAGATTATCAAGATTTGTTTAAATGTGCCCCATACCCTCACAGCTACTAAACTTTAAGATCTTTCAAGACTTGCCCAAAATGAAATTTCTTATGAAAAGCATTCTATAAATAGCTAACTAGGGTAACTTGGATAGCCTTTCTAATTATGCAACATCTTGCTTTTTTAAATATCAGTTTAATACGACTTTTAAAAATGTATATTTACATTTTATATTTATATTTGTGTCTAATGCCTATCTATTCCTTTTGGTTTTTAAAGTCCATGAGAACAGGAGTCATGAATTTTTAATTTTAACTTTAGATGCCTAACATCTTTCCTGGAATCTTGGTTATTCAAACAATAGTCAAAACTCAAACCTAAAGCAAGGACCTCCAGTCTTCTCCTTCCTTATAGTTTCCATTTATGGTGGAGGCTTTTTTGGTTAAAAGTTAGACAATATAATAGGGAACTTACTTCAAGACTGCTACACTGAAGGTAGAATACTATGAGATAAGATGTCAATAAGGATCCTACAGCTTCCAAATCTTGACTGCAGAGGAGTCACCATAGAAACAAATCTGGTGTTGACGGGGGGGGGGGGGGGGGGGGGGGATGTCATCTAAGAACCTTAGTTCCTATCCACTGTGCTTAACCATGGGGTCTCTCCTGATAGGCTGGTTCAGGCTTCCCCACAGCACAGTGACTGGGTCCCATCACCATGCATCCTTTAAAAAGACGTGAAGTTTACTTGTGGAGTGGGTGTCAGAAAAGTTGTTACTGTGTTACTGTGAGTTGGCCTTCAGCACCAAAGAGCAGCTTGAGGGCAACTGTCCTCGGGATCCTCCTTCCCGGAGTCCTCGGCCTCAGGGACTCCCCGGGGTGACCCTGCCCTCCCCGTGGCGTTTTGAGGGGACCTGGTACCTGGAGCCGGGCAGGGGCAACGCGCATGGCCCTTCCTTCGCCAGTCTGGGTGGGGCCCACGAGGACGCCGCGGGTGGCGGGGTGGGCACAGAGCAGGGAGCGGCTGCCGGCCAAGGGCAGTGTGCTGGCTTTGGGACGCTCCGTGGCCCAGCCCTCTCTCCTCTCTCCTGGATCTTCCCTAGATCTTCCCCTACCCCCCTTTTTCCCCTGTTCTTTCTTTTTTTAATATATCTATTTTTGCTTCTAAAGATTTTTAAAGAGTCAAATTTCTTGGGAGGGGTGAGGAGAAAAGTGCATTTTTAGGGTTCTTCTCTACTTATCTACAGTCCTACTTTTTCAAGGTTATGGAACGTCTTAACATTTCTCTAAACTATTTGGAATGAGTTTTATATAGGGCAACACCTACTGGCACCTAATTCTAGCTTACTCAAGTATGCCTTTAAAGCTTCTTGGGAAGCGTTAATGATTATCATGAATCTGAACATCTTTGCAGATTTACTCAAGTTTATGTCTTGTAAGTAGTTCACGGTATATAGACACGGTTCTTTTAAACCATCTTTAAGAATTTGTTACAGAGGGGCGCCTGGGTGGCTCAGACAGTGAAGCGTCTGCCTTCGGTTCGGGTCGTGGTCCCAGGATCCTGGGATCGAGCCCTGCATGGGGCTCCCTTCTCAGCGGGGAGCCTGCTTCTCCCTCTCCCTCTGCCTCTCTCCCTGCTCACGTTCTCTCTCTCTCTATCTCTGTGTCTCAAATGAATAAATAAAATCTTTAAAAAAAATTTGTTACAGAAGTATATTTCTCTACAGAACTGTCTTAAAAAACAACAAAAATATTTTAAATTTTTACCTAAAACCTTCTTCCTGTTACCACATTCTCTATATTTATTCTGTTTGCAAATGAAAATGGTAACTAATGATTTAGCAGCTTGAGCCTGTTATAAGAATTTGCAAAGCCTGGAATACACACACATTGTCTTAGGCTATCAGTAGAATAGAGGACATATATTACCTAAGTTTGTCTGTTTGTTGCTGTTGTTGGACAAAATTTTATGTCTGTGTATGCGTAATTTTCTTTCTATTTTCTTCAAAGATGTGAATTAAATGAAAGTGTGGGAGCCAGCTATATTATTTCATATTATGGGTGTTCTGGATCCTTTCACTCTGTATACCATTTTCTTGTAAGGGCAGCATTTGCAGACTAGCTAATGGACTCTAGGGCTGAGCTATTTTAGTTTTATACTTGACTCAGGGGATCAGCTCTGTGAACTCCACTGCATGAAGAAAGCAAATGTTTGCCTTGATTTTGAATGTACCTTTTTAATGTCTTCTTAAAACATATTTTGTTTAATAATGTGGGTTTTTTTTCTTTTTCTAGCATCATAGTAAATATTGCCTAGTATTTCCCCCCTCCCCAGGGTAGTTTACATGCTATCCTACAGGTCATGCCAAAAATGAGTAAAAGTTTAAATGCCAAAATGTTTATGAAACTGCTGTCTAAATACTGATTGATTGCACAGTTTAAATAAAACTTTTCCTTAGTTAAAAAAGAAAAAAAAAGTGTTTTACTCTTGTTTTCTTTAGGGGAATGGAGAATAAAACTTTCACTTTATAGAATGATGACTTTCATATCCTGTATGGGATGATTATAGAGTCCACTCCAAGCAACAGGAATAGAGCCTATTTAAGGGATCTAAGAATTGTTTTCATCTGGCATTTACTGCATAGCAGCAAGGAAATAACAATTTCCCCTTTCCAGTAGATGGCTGATCACCTCAGGAACTAAATAGTAGGTAGCCTAAAAGCTAAGGGCTCATCCAAATAGACACAGTTCTAATTCAGGTTAAAGTTTTTGTTTTTTAAAAGTAAAACATCTGTACAGTAAAAGACACTGTAAACAAAAGGCAAGTGAGACACAGAAGAAAATAGCATTAATATACAAAAAGCCCCTGTAAATCAATAAGGGAAAGGCCAAAGGAAGATGAAATTTGGCAGTGGATTAGAAATTCACAGAGAAAGAACTAAATTAGCTAATAAACATATGGAAGAAGATGTTCTATCTTGCTAGCAATCAGGGAAATGAAAATGACACAATACCATGTTTGCCCATCAGACTGGGAAAAACTAAAATGATTGATAACAACCAGTGCTGGCAAGGATGTGGGAAATGAGCATGCATAAACCTTTGGAGGGAGGGAGAATTGACTGAACCTTTGGGAGAGTGGTTTGGCAGTATTAAATAATGATTTAAACCCACACACCCTACAACCTAGTAATCCCACTTCTAGGAACTTCTACAGAAATGATAGCACAGGCACTCATAAATATTCAAGGATTCTTACAACAACATTGTTGGTAAGAGTAAAAAAGAAATTGGCCTAAGTGTTTATCAATAATGGAATGTTCCAAATAAAATATAGCACATCCATAGTATGAAATACTCTGCAGCCGTTCAATAGGAGGCACATCTATATATAACAAGATAAAAGATATCAAGCCATACAATGTTATTTCAGAAGGAGCCCCTTTTTTTTTAAAGATTTTATTTATTTGAGAGAGAGAATGAAAGAGAGCACAAGAGAGGGGAGGGCAGAGGGAGAAGCAGACCCCCCGTCGAGCAGGGAGCCCGATGCAGGACTCGATCCTGGGACTCCAAGATCATGACCTGAGCCGAAGGCAGTTGCTTAACCAACTGAGCCACCCAGGCGCCCAGAAGGAGCCCATTTTTATAAACGTTTGTTGGTATATGCCCCAAAAAGCTGGAGGAAAATACCCAGATGTTATAGTCATCGCCTACTAGTAGGAGCATGAGGGAGCTTTCATGATCTCTATTACTCACAAATGTGTTGTTGGATTTTTCTTCTGTAATTAGAAAAAATCAGTGAAGACACGGTGCCTGGGTGGCTCAGTTGGTTAAGTGTCTGCCTTCTGCTCAGGTCATGATCTAGGGGTCCTGGGATCGAGCCCCGTGTTGGGCTCCCTGCTCTGTGGGGAATCTGCTTCTCCCTCTCCCTTGGGCTTCTCTCTCTCTCTCTCTTTCTCTCTCTCTCTTTCTAATAGATAAAATCTTTTAAAAAAAAAAGTCAATGAAGAGTTAATGTTTTTTAAATTGTTTTTGTTTTTTAATATTTTAAAAGTGATGAAATATTGAAAACGTTCCCACTAGAAAATCTAGAAATAACACAGAAAATGTGACCTAACAAGCTTTTTTTAAGATAGCTGAATTCTTATTTTGTAAAAAAATTTCCTGATTTGGGAAATAAAAGGGAAACTGAAAAATAGAACAGTAATGTCTTGAAATGATATTGTGCTGACTGTGGAGAACATAAAGAATTAAAGCGTAAGAGAACAAGAAACTATTTTTTTAAAAAGTACATTAGAAAAATGAATAGAATTCCTAGAAATAAAAAGGTAGAGTCATCGAATTTTTGAAAATATGTTAAGTAGCATACCAAATACACTGAAAGAATATTCTAAAATTGAAGATAGATGTAAGGAAATTATCCAGGATGCAGCACAGAGAAATAAACAAAATACAAAACAGAGGTAAACAAAGAAGATTTGACATACTTCTGGTAGCCACTCTTAAAATGAAAGATTAAAGAGAATGAAGGATAAGCAATATGCAAAGAGAAAATGACTAATTTATGAAATCATCACACTCAAGAAGTACAAATCTCAATCTAGAAATATAAAAATAAGTCTGCACCAAGACGTTTTAGTGAAATCACAGAACATTGAAGACAAAGTGAAGAACTTAAAGGCAGGAGGGGGAAAAAAGAGATGATACAGATTGCCGTGGGAGGATATCTCGGTGAAAATAAAAGAAGCAAGAAGATGGTGCTATAGTATCTTCAAAACATCACAAAGAAAAATAACTATAAGATGCAATTCTATACCCAGAAAAACTATCATTTAAATGTTAGTTAAATAAACATAATTCTAGATTAAGATTGAGAGAATTTACCACTCATACACCCCTGCTAAGTGAACAATAAAGGATGTACTTCAGAAAAAAAGAAATACAACCCACAGGAAGATATTAGAAGAAAGAAGCAATGATGAGCTGAAAATACAAATAAAAAAAGCAATGAGATATCACCCCATATCCACTAAGATGGCTATAATCAAAAAGATAATAACAACTGTTGGCAAGGATGTGGAGAAATTAGAATATTTATACATTGCTGGTGGGTATGTAAAATGATGCAGCCATCACAGAAAATAGTTTAGCAGTTAAACGCAGAATTATCATTTGACCCAGCAATCTCATTCCTAATTATATACCCAAGAGAAATGGAAACATAGGTTCACACAAGAGCTTGTACAGACATTCATAGCAGCATTTTTCGTAACAGCCAAAAAGTGGAAACAACCTAAATGTCTACCAACTGATGAATGGATAAATGGATCATGGTATATCAATTCAATGGAATGTTCCTCAGCAATAAAAAGGAATGAAGTACTGATATATGCTGTAACAAGGATGAATTTTGAAAACATGCTAAGTGAAAGAAGCCAGTCAAAACACCCCACACATTGTATGATTCCATTTGTATGGAATGTTCAGAATAGGCAAATCTATAGAGACAAAAAATAGATTAGTGGTCGCATAGGACTGGAAGGTGGCAGGGAATGGGACATACTGATGGTGGGTATAGGGTTTCTTGTT